AGAAATTCTGAGGAAGGACACTCTGATGCAGTTCTTGACTTATCTTGGAATCACCTTGTAAGGTAAGCACTGAGAAAATGAAAATTAGTGCTTTTGATGTGAAAGCTATTTCTAAAAATGTGATTTTCAACTTGAATGCTACAGGAATGTTTTGGCCAGTGCCTCTGCAGATCACTCTGTTATTTTGTGGGACCTCTCCCAGCCAAAACCTGTCCACATGTTGAGACATCATAAAGACAAGGTAAGATGTTGTCTAGTTGTAAGTTACAAACCACAGTGAACTATTGATGAGGAGAACATCAGTAAAAGTGGTGACCAGATATTTTTTGGATTTTACATTTGTAGTTGCTAGTCAATAGAGGTTTTGCACAGCAGCCATGTTGCATGGCAGGAACAGTAGATTATTTTTCCCATGGGAAAAAAATTTTCTTTCTTATATGCAAAATATTTTCATTGTTCCTGCCATGCAACATGGCTGCCATGCAAAACCTCTATTGACCTCACTGTGAAAAAAATAACTGACTTTGCTTGTAAATAATTTGGGAGAATCACTGGATATTTTTGAGTTAACATGAATGTTCATTTTTTGGCGTCCATACATTTGTTAACAGGAGTGCTATGAAACTGCTAGAGAATCAAAATATTTAGAATTTTGGCTTTTGGTAAAAGAAAATTGAACTATTTTCTCATGGTATTATTCAGTTGCAGTCACTTCTTTGACCCATTTGCTGCTCGACTCATATTTCTATGTATAGGCTTCAATTCCTAAACCGATTTTAAACTGTTCTATTCAAATTTGTTAATTATTTTGTTGTACATGTAGGTGCAGTCATTACAGTGGCATCCATACGAGTCACAATCATTACTTACAGGTTCCTTTGATAAGTGAGTATTACCTCATAGAACATTCAGAGTTCTAAAGCATTGAATTTAAGGAGTGGTGATGAGTGGTGATTTCCTCTAGTGATTGTCCAAGTCAGCAGGTTTTATAGTACTATTGTGTATGTTTGTCATGTCATTGTACGCTATGTCGTACATTCTTCAGAAATAAGAAGTTAGAGGAAGCCAAAGTAGTGATCTTACATAATAGATAATATAATACAAATGTTCATTACTTGTAGTATAATTTAGCAAATTCCAGAGATGCTTTCTTGTTGATAATTCAATTTCTTGGCGCTCTTGTGTTCACAGAAAGGCCAAAGTGGTCGACTGCAGAAGTCCTGAGGTAAGTTCTGCCATTTATAGACCTATTGCTTGTATAATGAATAAAGAGGGTAAGTTTGTAAGAAACTGTGGTGCTGCATCAGTGGAGGTAACAAGGTCATTTGGTTTTATCAACTGAGTTGATAATGTGAATAAGCCACTGTAAAGGGTTTCAAAGCTGACCTTTCAAGCGTCAGCTCTTTCGTCAGGGGGAAATAACAAAGGGCTAACACTCGAATCGTCAGCTTTGAAACCCTTAACGGTGGCCAATATACATTTCATAAAACCAAATTATTTTGCTAGTACAGTCTGGTATTGTTGGCTACACTTTGCATTTACCTTTACAAAAGAATCTGAAGCAGAAGTTCAGCTTGGATAACTTAGAAATGCAATCTTCATAGCAAAAGGAAAGAGTCTCTCTAAGAGCCATCGGTTTAAAGTAAACCAAACTTTGAAACTTATTGAAGGTTTTCTCTTACTAGAGACCATTTCTTCTTTTCCCAGAGTAACATTAAATTTTGGAAATTTGGTGCAGAGGTCGAAAGAGTTCTGTGGAATCATTTCTCACCATTCAATTTTTTAGTAAGTAACCTTACAATCACTCAGATGTTGTATCATACGGCCGAATGTTTCATAGTGAGTTGCACTACTTGAATTATTGAATTATAGCCTAGTTTTCCTTTTTCCGTGAAATGTTTTCACTCCGTGTTCTCAAGACTTAATCGGATAGCGCGCAGATGACAGTGAATACTTCAAAAGTTGCTTCAGTCTCCAGCACAACACTCAGTCCTTATGTTGCTGTCATTTTCTTGAGAAGTACGTGGTAGTTGTTGTTGTTGTTGTTGTTTTTTTTTTCAGGCGTTCAGTTAACTAGACAGGGCGAGGTAGTAGCACAAAGCTAGCAGGCGGGGACAAGGCGGCCTAATCCTCCTGCCTTCTTTTTCTCTGTGATGCTATTACACCCCAGACTAACAGAACAGACTGACCAGTTTCTACAGTTTCCTTTTCCTACATAAGCTGTGGCATTGTTGTTTCTGTACAGGTCAGCACGGAAGATGGTCACGTGTTTTGCTGTGATGTCAGGGCAGACGGCCCAGTGTTTACTCTCAAAGCGCACGATAATGCGATACCAGGTGAGGCACTCGTGGTGCTGTAAAAGTACTGTGAGACGATGAGAGATCTTATCCTGTAGCAAGCTCTAGGCCTCGTTGGTGAAAAGAAAACACATTTTCCTTTTTGGCGCTTATTGCGGTCAGGATCTGAAGACTTAACCAACTACTGTGGGAGAAAACTTTGATGCCTTTCGCATGAGCAAAGTCACGTAATAAGGGATGTTATTAAGGCCATTTCCAAATCGTTTCCACCCCCCCCCCCAAGGTTCCGTAGTTTTCTAATGATCCCCATATTGACAGTCAGTTTACTATAGTCCTCCCTTTGTACCCTGTCAGCGACGAGTGACCCTCCCCCTCCGTTCCCCTGAAAACGATGTGATTCTCCCCCCTCCTCAAGCGAGACAGGTCACTAAAACCAATTCAGTCTTGATACCGAGTTTACCTGCGTTGCCGGCTGCGTGTTTGAGTGTTACCTGACATGTCCTTGGCTCCTTGTTATGTTTTTTCTTTTGTTTTGATCAGCCTTTGTGATCATAGAGGTTTTAGTTTTAACCACACTCAATCGATCTGGGTAGTACTTGAGCAAATGCTACGTGCAAAGTCACTCTCATGAAGTTCTGTTCTTATCTTTTTCTCATCGTGTTTCTAGGTCTCGCACTAAGCAGCCAGGTACCCGGATGTCTTGTCACTGCGTCAGCTGATGAGACTGTCAAAGTCTGGGACATACAGGTTGTGTGATTGAAAGTTACATCGTTTGTCTCGCGATTTCGTTTGCTTTCAATTGTAGATCGCGACATTTTATCCCCATTAGTTACCCTCTATATCATAGTCAAAAGCTTATTTGTGGAACACTTGACAACAACTAACAATCAAAAGAACTTGCTACGGAAGTTGTTTATTAAGAATGAAACATTTTAGGAATATAAAGCAATTTGAACGTAAGTAAGTATTCAGCTGTTTCGAAAAAAAGGGGCAAAAGTGCATGCCACAATCTCGAAAGGTTATTTGGGTATCCGGTAATCATTGAATTCTAATAAGTGAAACAAATACTGGAATAACCTTGCGATACCTCGTCCTTACAGTAACGTTTTCTCAGATTTTCCAAAAATGCTAAGATCAAGGAACGGTCACCTTAAAAACTACCCACATTACCTTTCAGGTTGTTTCGTGCACCTTTACGCCAACAGACTTTCTCGAAACAGCAGTATCTAAATGCATCGCCCATATTACATTAACAGTATAAGATACTTACACTTAGATGTTAGGTCACGGTGTGTGTTAAGCGTTTAACTTGAAATGTCGCTTTCCATTATCCAGAATGAGTCATCCAGTCTTTCAATACCCTTTTTTATTTCTTTTCTCTTATTTTCGTCTTTCTTTTTTTCCCTATATTTTCAGGATAACAAACCATCATTTGTGGCTTCTAAAAATCTTCAAATTGTAAGTACAGTTGTGGTTCTAACGATTATTCATTCCGAAATACTGGAGTTTGATTGATAGTCGGAAAACTACTTGTGGGGTGAGATTTCTTTCATTTCTCTTTTTTAGGGAAGAATTCTACATACCAGTTGTTGTCCCGATTCCCCGTTCGTCTTCAGCTTTGGTGGCGAGAAGCAGGGTTTAAGGGTCATCGATTTTACTGAGAGCAACTTAGGTAATTATCTAATATTTGTCGTTTTATATATACTGGTTTTACTCGAGTTTATTCATTGGCATTTGCAATTCCCGGGCGCTTATTAAGTAAATAATAATTTAATCCTTTATTTAGTCAGTCAAGCGACCTCTTGGTCAGTCTCAAAGGGACGATTATTTAAACAAAGTTTAGCAGTTGTTTAGCAAACCGCGCCCTGAACAATCCTCAATTTAACTGAATCTTTTATCAGAACGTTATTTTTTAAAAAGAACAATGTCAAGAAGGCAGATTTTATTTATTTAAGTCAACCCCCTATAGAGAAAAACAGAGGCCCACTGACTGCGTAAAATCGTGGTTTGGGTTAGGCCTCTTGTAAACTATAAGCGCCCCAAAAAGGTTTTCGAGCAGAAATCGTGCGACTTAATGACTTTATTTAGTTTATGTCAAACAAACACGAGTCCTCGATTCATATATTTATTGTTTCAAAAGCTGATCAGTGTCGAAGCTGAAAATCTAACCAAGGCCTGTACTAGTCATCTAAGTTTATGAAGTATTTTCCTTTATTTGCTGTACGCGTAATCTGAACCTCTTTGGTTGTGTCATAGTTGGTCGGCAATTCGCAACAAGACAGAGGCTGGTACCCACAACAAACAAAGCTCCAGGGGAAGAAACTGTAGACCCTACACACGAGGTATTAACTGTGTTTTGTTCCTTTTCTTCCTAAATCATTGTACTTAAAGAGGTCAATTATTTCATCTCTCAAGCCTCTAGAATCAGTAGAGAAAGCAAACCCTGAGCCTATGGAAGAACAGACAGCGGCTGAAGCCATGGCAGCTTTGAGCCTTGGTGCCACGATGAGCAGTGGGCATTCAAAGAAAAAGAAGAAAAAACGACGAAAATAACCTGGTTATTGAATTCAATAGCCAGTACCTTTTGGAGATGTCGACAAAAATCAATTTATTTCGTACACAGCCAAACACTCATTGAGATAACGCAAGTTAGCGGTAAACTTCTGTCGAACACGCGGACGTTTATAAAGTTAAAGGCATCAGTTGAGGCGTGAAACGATTTATTTTTACGAAGTGAAGTTTCATTTGCCGTTGACATTGTTCACAGCTTCATTATGGCCGAGACTTCTATCCATTTTTATTTTCTTCAAAAATTTAGACAGGATATTTTACAAATTGCATATATTAACGTAATTGGTACTTACATTTTCTGGCAAAAGACTTTATGAGAGATAACGCCAGAACGGATCCGTCAATTCATTAAAGACATTTTAACTGCAAAACTGTTTTGAAACAACACAGCAGTTGAATTAAATTCCGATCTGGGAGAAGTTTCCCTCTCTTAGAAACATCTTTATAGGTCGGTGATAGATAACTCGCATATCGTACGTATCTCGCTAAATATTCTGTACATTTCTACTGAACTCGTAATTATAACGTCACTTCTTTGACGGGCGGATTAGTTACGTGCAATTAATGGAACAGTCATGTAATCACTGTGGCGAATACCGAAGCTGAATTTTGGGGCAGATGGTCTGTGATACGCAACCTGAAAAACGAAATGAACAGCAATCCATTAAGTATGAGTTAAAACCCTCTTAGCTCTCAACATCTAAACCATAATTAGTTACGTGAGTCCAGATACATTTTATGCAATCAAGACAGTGGAGCAGTTTTTCAATTGAGTGTCCGGTATTGGTTCGGTTAGCCTTTCTCGCTCTGTGATTAGTCGAGAAATCTCGCGCCACTTCCTCAACCAATCAGATTCAAAACTGATACCAATCGCGACTTGAGCGCTCCCGTTTTCCCGTGCTTGAGGCGGTCTGCCTGTTTTTACCACAAGTCTTCATTAGACTCAATCGAAATGCGCTCTAGCTGCAACACTACAGTCAATCGTATTCAACTCTGAATAGCTTCCTGAGTTCTTGTTTAAACTCCACCAGTTTCTCGATAATTTGTTAACATTGTCAGGATAGATTACATGATTATCTCCAATAGCCAAGGCGGGTAATCTGACTCTGGATCCACAAATGTATCTAACAGTTAAATTCATTCGAGAATTACTATTGATAAGCAACGAATGACCATAATTGCGTTTACTTGCGGCAAGGTAGAGGTCAATCAATCATCAATCAATCATATCCTTTATTTACACACGATGAGGTTTAAAGCTGGGAGCTTGTGGGGTCGTGTAGAGGTGTGCAAACAGAGAGCACGGCCGCGTAAGAAAAGATTTGTCTCTCCGGTGATCTTAGTCAACTATTATAACTATCGCACTATTGCGATGTAGAAAGAGTCCACTTTTAGAGATGGTGCCATGCGGGGTAATTAAGTTAGTTGAATATGCCATAAGTCTAATATCTGAATGATGACTTCGATAAGTTTAAACCCAGTTCTACAAGTTATCGTAAGCGCACAATACTATAAAGTTGTCTTATTGGTAAATGTATCTCCGTCAATTAAGGTCTATTGAGCCTCTTTCACTTTAGTCATGCCCAGCCTACATTAATTTTATTTTTATATTTAAGATCCACTCTAGATGTAGTAACGTCAAACAGCCAATATACAAGAGAACACTAGATATGTTTTAAAAGATTTTATAAAACTTTTATTCGTCTTTTAGGTAACCTGCGTAGCTTATAGTCTAACTGACTAAGGAAACAAGAACTAAGACCTGTCATTATCTTTTCCTACCTAACTTAGTGAATGGTAGCCTAGTCAGCTAAGCACCCGGTAATTAAGATGACTTGCTACCTCTGATTACAAAGTAAACAGTCGGCGACTAAATTGAAAAAGCTTTTGGTTCGTGAAGTGATATGATTCGTAAAAAGTAGCGATGATGCGTTATATAGAAAAAGTGCGTTATAAGTTAGAAGAGTATACGCTAATACCAGCCAAAGGGCGTTACCACTCGTGATACATGTTTGTGACTTTGAATGGGCGTCCTGTGACAATCTCAGTTAATTACGTTATAAAACGATGAGGTCCGTGGCGACTGAAGATGGCTGAAGCCTTGTTAAGACAGTGAGAAAACGTAGTGGTTAGGTTATATTTTGAAAAGCTAGTAAGCAGAATTCAAGACAGACGGGTGGGTTGAGAATGGAACAGAGTGTAACAAGGTTATAGAAATACTGGGAAGGAATGTCACCTGCCAAGATCTGGGGACACAGGTTCTACTGGGTACAAGCAAGTACGAATTAAATACGAAGAATGTAAGAAGTGGAGTGTTAACTAAAGATGATTATAACATGAGTGCGGACATGCAATCAGATGTGGGATTGTGATAAAGTTGATGATGTAGACTCGGTGAGATAAACGCACTGGACATCACACTTTTTAGGGTGGGTTTTAGCCTCGTTTACCTCGTAACTAGTCAGGTTATCGAAGCGGATCTTCCTCAATAGGTAGCATGTATTCAGAATGTCTGACGCGGAATGAAAAGCTTGGACCTGCCGTGTGATGTGCAGCCTCTGAAGTAACAAATGTAACCATACTATCATTGCAGTAAATGGTTTGAACCCGGGGGTAACATGTGAAGATGTAGTCTGATCGTCCGGGTGAGTGTAGTCCTGAGAAGGACTGTTGTAGGTGGTAGTGACCACAGTCACAACAGTAGTGACAACAGTCCTTCTCAGGACTACACTCACCCGGACAATCAGACTACACCTTCACATACTATCATTATTTTTGTTACTCTCATCTGTGACCAGGATCAGACGAAGTGCGGAGAAACACCTTAGCATCACTGAGCAAGTCAATCACCGTTATGCGCAACAGAAACGCATGCATATCAGTAACGGAGCTCATGATAATGTCGAACCACAAGTAATCCTGGATGGAGCCATGCATCAAGGTTTAGTTGAATCTTTTTATTCCTAAATAAATCAGCCTTTGTTAACTCTTGATTTAGGACTAAAAGTCGATATTTTCAAGGACGTGTTGAACGATTTGTCATAAAAAGGGCTCCACGCCGAATAGTTCCGAAATTGTAGCTGATAATAATGATAATGATAGTAAAAACTATGCTTAAGACATTAAATAATATAAATGATAATGATAATCGTAATAAAAATAAAAAAAAATTATTCAGTTTTAAAAAGGTGTGAACCAAAGGCATGTGTCTCCCGATGTCTAAAAGAGTGCATTTATACATCTCGCACACTCTCCTTAAGCAGGCATTTAGACACATCATATTGCGTCTAAAAGTACACATTCATAGATGACGCACAGGATAATTATACATGCGCAGTTATACATGCCTTGCAGAATCCAAGAGCATGCATTTACAAATTTCACGCACTCCTTGCACAGTTAGTAAAAGTGCGTAAAGGACATATCGCACGGGTCCATTGTGTTTAGTCATGCTTACAAACATTTCGATCACTACATTTAGATCACCTGAAATCTCCCGCTACCAAACATCACCTTTGTTTATCTAAACTCACATCATTGCGTTCTGGAATGCAAAAGGAGTCCTTGCTTCTCATGATATCGATGCATGACTTACTGATGCTGTGTATCGGAACCCAAAGTTTAAGGTATTTTTCATACATTTCTATTTACTTGAGATGCCCAATACGACATTTTTTCGCTACAAAAATACCTAAGATTGTTGTTAGCGTAACATTCTTGATTATATCCACAGTTTGGATAGCCTCCTCACCTGCGCTGTTTCTAAGTTAAATCGTACTTTCTATCGATTTATCGGCATTGTCGCCCACGCGAGATGTTGGGTGAACACGAGAAAAGTTAGCAAATCACGAGCCGAGGCAGAAACGCCACGTCGATGTTACGTCGGTTCCCCTACACGATGAAGCTCTTATCTCCAGATTTGATAAAAATAGTATCTTTACATTGTACAATGTAAAAGGAGCAGGGTAAATTTTGGTATTTCATTCATATCTTTATGTTACAAGTATGTATCATCTAAGCTTATTATTTGCACACACGACCATATAAAGTACAAGTACACGGGTCTAGATCTCAAGATGCGGGAGATCAGAAGTTAAGTTAAATACATACCATAGTCAGCTTTAGGTTGTGCAAGCCTACCTTTTCAGGGCTGTGTTGTCCCGGTCCTGGTTTTAAGGTGGTATCTGTTGGCATGTAGTTTCGTCCGTTCATAGTGTATGCTGGCATTCTCCTTTTACTTGTATTGAGATGAATTACCTCGTAAGTTCCCGGGCCGGGTGTCTTTGTCGAGATAAACAGACGATCAAACAGATAAAACGAAAAAGCAAAATCAGCATTCCGGAACGATGTAACGGATAGTTAATAGGCCAAGAAACAGTTTGTGCCAGGCTCTTAGGACATGAAGACGAACAGATGAAAGAAATTAAAAGAAATAAAAAGAAGTAGCGCACGAAAAAAAGAAAGGCAAACAAGTTTACACGAAGGTTGCGGTTGTCAGGGAAACAGTTATACCTCGCTTAGCACTCTTATTTTTAATCGCGCTCCCGCTCCTTTCGCCAACAGCATATCTCGTGTATCTACTTTTAAGCTGGTCTTCGAGCCATGCTTGAGTAAAATGATGGTGTTTGAAAACCTCTTGCTCCGTATGAAAGTATATCTCGACTTTAACTCCAATTTTACGTGGAACAGTTTTTATATATCATTTCCGAGCTGACGGACTTCTGAATCGAATCTAAACTGCGCAGATGGCGATTATCTTGAACACATCTATCGTGGAGGGAGCGTATGGCTTAAGAACAGACTAAGTTATCCAATAGAGGTGAAACCTTAATCATTGGACCTCTTGCCACTGCTACTTGGTGGGTACAACGAAAAAAAAGTGTATCTTCGATATGTGTGTACTTCTCAACTAACAATAACTTTACCTTTTTAAGATCTTCGCTGAATCCGCCAATAGTAGAGCGTCCACTCAACGAGTAAGCCGGGGCTGAAGCCTTGTTAACCCCCTTTGGTCCTATGAGGGGTGGGAGGGAGTAGGAATTTGGTGAGGGGGTGGGGTTCTTAAATAATATTTTGATACGTTTCCCAAAGGTAAAGCTTGGTTCGCTTCGTTCGTGGGGGGGATGGAATTTTTCTGGAGAGTATTGTCCTGAAAGAAAAAAAACGAATTTGAGTGTTGCACATTATGCCGGCCAGATAAAATAAACAAGCAAACAAACAAATAGGCCACAGTGAAAGAACAACCAAAGACTTGTGTTAAAAGATAAAAATAGAACTATATTTAATCTGAAATATTGCAAGGGTTTCCTTATATTGGTGATGGAAAAAAGGAATGGAAATATTATATTACTTTAAGCCATTCAGTGCAAAAATCATAATAAGCAGGTTGACTACTTATATTCCTTTTGGCAGTCTTATCTAAGTACAATTTCTTTCACCCCTTTCTTATTGCGGTTGTAAATTTGGCATGGAAGCAGATGTTCAGTTTCTACGGTGATTAGAACTTGTTGTAGTACATTTCGCGGTGAGCTATGTTTTTAATTATGTCAATCTGTTAGTTAAGGAAGAGAGTAAATCTCTCTAGCAATAGTTAACCTCGTGCAGGAATTCCTATAAATTCCTACTTCTAATACTTTTGATTATTCTCGGACTTGTTTTTTTTCAACAAATTCAATGTCAGGTTCACGATCAAGGAATGTTTCTTAATAATCATCATTATTAGACAATAAACCTGGGCCAGGTGTGTAAAGGTTGACTTTATCCGTTGTGCGACTGTAGAGTGAAAACGCAGGGGCTGTTTCCTTTCCATTTCGTGTTACATTAGCAGTGAACATGTACTTTGGACCAGGACTAAAACTGGACGAAAATTCTTTATGTCGTTGGCCAAAACTAAATGCCGGACATCTCTGCTTGCGAATATCATGTCCTTTAATTCCTACAGTTCCAGGAAGAAGATATTTCGATGGCCCGGGTCCCCGACATTTCGCACCGATTTCAGCCTCTTTTTTACTCTCGTCGCTATGCTCGTTATTTGCCTTCTTTTGTTGCGCCATTTTTTTTCTCGATAGATTGTTGGATTTCCCAGCGTGGTGGTTTTTTTCGCGTTATCTTAGCCGAAAGTACATGTTGGCCAAGCGCTTAGGCTAATCAGCTCATCAAATTGTACGTATACAGTAGATTACTGACGTAACGCGAACCTAATTAGTAATTACTTTGAATATCGCATCAAAATTGAACTGACATCAGGCTCGACTGGAAAGCAAAGAGCAATTAAACCCGAACAACGGAAACCCACAAACAAAAAAATTAATAAACTGAAGGAAAAAAAAGTAAAAAACCAACAGGTGGAGATCAGAAATCATCTAAGCCAGAAAAACTCGACGGAAATTAGGTAACCGTGCAAATGACTGGATCCTTGTAAAAAGTACCCATTGTATTATATTGTGAGGGAGAATATTGGTTGTTTTCTTCCAGACGAATCATGTATTATGTCATATTACATCGCTCGCAGCGCCCGTGGGCAAGATGAGGGGAATCCTGTGTTCTGATTGGATATCTGAGCGGGCAAGATAAGCCCATCTTGCCCGCTTGGGATTAGCCACATTGATCCCGCGCATGATAAAAAAAAAAAAAAAAAAAAGAATAGAATTAGAGCTGCGTTCGTAATTCTTGGACTATTTCGACGATAGAAACGCGAAAAGCGGCACATGATAATTAAAAACAAAGAAATCAGAAACGACTCTCACGAGTTTATTGTGCTACAAACACAGTTAGTTGGCTTTCTTTCCCGGCTCTCGAGGTTAACAAGCCTTTTTTAATTCTTGAGTAAGCGAAATATTTTGAAATATAATAAATACTTTATTAACCAAGCTTGTTCGGTCAAGATGTCTGGATATTAGCCTCTTTCTTTTTCGCATTTTTATGCGAAAAAAGAAAGAAAATACGAAAAATGAAAAAAAACTCGGTCAATGTCCAGCCATCTTGACCGAACAAGCTTGGTTAATAACCCATATATACTAAAGCTACAGACGGGATATAAAAACTATCTTCAACTTGAGGGGGACTACAAGACATGGGCCTTTTTAAATTAAAGAACACAAAGAGGCAGTGATAAAACTAAGGAGAAACAAGGTTGACAAGGGTTAAGACGATTGGAACAAATCGTGAAAGAAGTAGTTGAAAAAATGGAGTAAGATTTCTGAACATCGTATATTAAGAGACACTAACCACGACGAAGCTCCTTTAAACGAGGATTCAATTCAGAAAAACCCTGATGGTAACGAGGCGTGAAAGTATACCTCATTTAAACGATGAACCGAATACAACGTGTACTGTTATTGGTAGTTGGCTGTTACTTATCAAAGTACCTTGCAAGGCTGGCGACACTCATAAATTTCTTTTCTTTGCATTATCCTGCGGCTTGTTTGCCACCTTTTGCACTTCTCTCATATTATTTTTAAGTTACCTGTGATCTACTAGTAAAGAGACCCATGAAAACCACTGAAAGAAGTCTATGAGTTAAACTGATATTGAATGATTGTGCCCGAATATTTTTTTTGCCTCTTTCCTGAGTTTCCGTAACTGCTTTCGAACACGTGCTCTCTTGAGTAGTATTGGGTGAATTTCCCGTTTTCAAATCGTAACCAAAAAATAATCAAAAGTATTTGAACCCTAACAGAAAAAACTTGTAAAGAAATGTCTGAAGAAAGTTTTATCCCTGTAATTACACCGAGAAAAATGTGTTGAGATAATTAACAGTGTCTAGCGAAATACACACAAAAGCACTAACATCGTACTCTGTTTGTTTTTTCTTTGTAGTAAATGAATATTTTCTTTAAAAACGTTATTACGAAGATTCATAGAATCATGTCTTCCCAAAGATGTTCACTTGAAGGTGAATTACCTGCTGTGATTGATATATCATATTAGACTTGATTGGTGCAATACGATCAGTGCTTTGTCTTATGATATACTTTACACTTTGACTGTGAATATATGAAAATCATATATGTTAACTGCAGTTCAAGAAATGAATATAAAAGCGATCTTCGCTACTTACGCAGTAGTGAAAATAAGACCTGAAAAAATCCAGGCCTGTGCCGGATTTTAACCCGTGACCTCTGCAATGCTGGTGTACTGTTGCGTTTCGATGACGATAAAATCCCAGAGCTACGGGTTAAAACTGCAACAAGACTTTTTAATGACGAGTTCGGGTTTCTTGTAACATGTCGCTGGTGTACCACGAGGCACGACGGATTGTGTGACTTCTGATCACATGACTATAGTCAAGCGCGTCACGCCACATCCCTTTCCCTTAAAATACCAACAATAGCAACAAAAAGGAAAAAAATAATAATAGAATAGGATAGAGGCAGGTTCAATTCAATGTTCAAGTGTTCAGCATAAGTCATAATCCTCAAGCCAGGTAGGGGTACGTCTGGTTCGCCCGGAGCGTCTAGGTAGGAGAGCTGAGACTGGTTCTGTGCTGTCTGGGACAGAGTGTGCTGGGGACAATGTGTCATTCCCTTGAATCCCAGGAGCCGGTGGGGTTTGGCACTGGTCTGGTACAGGCTCTGAAAAAACAGGTGATCTACTTTCATTCTCGGTCTGATGTGGTGACCTGCCTTCATTCTCAGTCTGGTGCGGCTGTTCTTTGCTGCTACTCGGCGCTAGTGACGGCTTTAGGGTGGAGCGCAGCTGGCGGCGGTTTCTGCGGAAGCACCGTCCGTCTACCTGAACTTCATATGAGTGTCAGCCAAGAAGACGTGAGCAGCGACCTAAGCTCCATTTCTGTTCCCCAGGTAGTTTCATTCGGATCGCCTCTCCCATCTTCAACGGAATGAGGTTCTTTGTGCCACTATTGTACTGCTTGCACTGTAGTCTTTCCTAGCTGCTAGACTTCTCGCTGTGGTCTTCAGGTCACTGTTTGGCTGGAGTAACATCTGAGCAGTTGATAGCAAGGTGCGCGTGCGCCGACCCATCAGCCTTTGAACTGGTGAGGTGCTGAATCCTTCACTTAGGGTGTTGCGCCATGCGAGGATAGCCAACAATGGGTCTCGTTTGTCTTCCTTTGCCTTCGAGAGCAGTCCTTTGCAGGTTTTCACAGCCTTTTCCACTTTTCCATTCGCTTGTGGATATCTTGGACTTGAAGTTCGATGCTCGAACTGCCAATCTGTAGAGAAATTCTTGAATTCCTGATTGTCAAATTCAGGACCATTATCGCTGATCAGCACTTCAGGAATGCCGTGTCGTGCAAACTGCCCCTTAAATTGGGTAATTACAGCTTGAGCTGTCTTCCTGTGAATCTCAACTACTTCAAAGAAACTGGACCAGTAGTCCACCATTTATCAGAAATGTCTGCTGCCCAATGACAAACAGATCCGCGGCGATTTTCTGCCAAGGACGCGAAGGAAGTTCAGTGGTTGGAGCTCCTCGCGGGCTTGTGCTGGACGGTACCATTTGACAGATTGTACAACGCGAAACAATGTCTCTTATTTCAGCACTTATTCTTGGCCAGTACAAAATTTCCCGAGCACGGCGAACACATCCTCTAATGCCAATGTGACTACTGTGGAGCTGAGTTAGCATGTCCTTTCGAAGTGAAAGGGGTACTACAAACTGTTAGCCACGGAAAACTAGACCTTGCCACTCTATCAATTCGCTTCGCTCATCATAATATGGTTGGACAGCAGGGGGTCATTTTTTCTTGTCGGGCCACCCTAGCTTGATAACAAGATTAAGTTCCTGGATATCACCATGTGCAGCAATTTGTTCACGGAAAACATCTCGTTTCGGCGGTTCAATTAGAATATGCTCTTCATGATCAACTGTCTCAAGTGCACGAATCTCACAGAACTCCGTCTGCGCTCCATCAGTGGTCTTCAGATATACCCGACTCAATGCATCTGCAATATGCATGAGTGTACCTTTCTCGTATTGCACATTAAGGTTACTTTTGTAGACCCAGCCGCATTCGCTGCATACGCTTGGGTGACTTGTGAATTTCTTTTTTCAATACGAACTTCAATGGTTCATGGTCAGTCTCAATAGTGACTAGGTCTCGCCGGTAGATGTATTGGTCGAACTTGTCACACGACCAAGTGATGGCGAGCATCTCTTTCTCGATTTGTGCGTATCGAGATTCCGTATCGGTAAGAGCTCGGGAAGCATAACAAACAGGCTGGCCATCTTGCAGCAATACAGCCCCTAAACCAGGCTGGCTTGCATCACACTGGACAGTAATTGGCTTGCTTACATCATAATAGTGAAGAACAGGTGCCTCCGTCAGAAACTTCTTGATTGTATTCATTGCGAGGGAGTGTTGTGGCAACCACTGGAACTCCACATTCTTGTCTTCTAGGCGTCTGAGTAGCTCTGTCATCTCTGATAGGTGAGGCATGAACTTTGCAAAATAGGTCACCATCCCAAGGAATCGCTTCAATTCAAGATAGGTCACCATCCCGAGGAATCGCTTCAATGCAGTGACATCCTAAGGTTCAGGCATCTGCAATATGGCCTGGATCTTCTCAGGGTGAGGCCTTAGGCCCTGAGAAGTGAGTAGGTGGCCCATGAATTTCACGCTTGACTGGTGCCGTTTCACTTTGGCACGATTCAATTTCAGGTTCACAACCGGCGGCATTTCTCGAGAAAAGCGTGCTCACGTCTTTCAAGACTGTAATTTACTCCTCGGTCACTATTACCAAATCCGACAATCAGGAAGTCGTCTGCTATCACTTCCACTCCTTCCAGATCCTCCACAAACTCGTGCATGGTGCGTTGCCACACGTCAGGCGCTGAACAGATGCCAAATGGAATCCTGTTCCATCGATACCGCCCAAATGGTGTATTGAACGTGGTTTTGTAACTAGACTCAGTGTTAAGACGTTTCTGCCAGAAACCATCTTTGGCGTCTACAACGGTGACCTTCTTTGCTTGTGAAAGTCGGGTTGCAACTTCCTCCACTGTAGGCATTTGGTAGTGCTCTCGACGGATGGCTTTGTTCAAATCGTGAGGGTCAAGGCATATACGCAACTTGTTGGGTTTGATAATGACCAACATACTGGAGACCCACTCGGTTGGTTCAGTTACCGAGGTGATGACGTCACTGGCTACTGTCTCATTCAGTTTCTCTTTGATCTGGTCTCGTAAAGCCACTGGTACACGGCGAGGCGGATGTACCACGGGTGGCACTGCATCATCGGTGACTATGTGGTACTCGCCTGAGAGGTCCCCCAGGCCTTGAAAAACATCCTTGTATTCATCTAAAAGATCAGCAATTCCTGTTATTACAGCGACACCCGGGATCGAATCGAGACCGTAGGAATTTGATGCAGTTGTGCTATCACAGTCATTAATTGTGACAAGCCCCAGTTCTATACAGGTGCTATAGGATAACAGTGGTGCAAGATCATCTTCTGTGATGTGAAAAGCAACACATCTCTTTTCCCATGACGCTATATGGGGAGTTCTGTCGACTCCATTATCCTGTATCGTTCATTTGTATAAGTTTCTATAAACTTGTGTGAGCAGTGATTGACTTTTTTCAAATCAATGTCCCCTGTGACTCGCCGGTAATCCTTCAGCGAGAGGAGTTTGCATTCTGCACCTGTGTCTAGTTGGAATGTCACCTGACTTTGACTGCTTGGCTTGCCAACTTCCATGGTAATCATTGCACGCGAGCCACCCCCAACTTGACTGATACGAAAGACTTCTTCAGTTACTTCTTCTGCAGTGTTTATGTGTGGGGTAAGTGATCGGCACTTTGCCTTGAAGTGGTTCTTTTGTCCGCATTTATGGCAGGTTTGACCATAGGCAGGGCATTGGCGATTTACATGATGATACCCACAGAATCGGCATTCTGGCCGCTTTCTTGAGTTTAGTCCTTGATTGTTCTTGTTTTCTGTTTTAACCGCGCCAACTCTCTCCTCTGTTCCGCTGGTAATCATCTTTAATTGCTGACTGGTCTGCTCTGCGGCTTTGCATACATCGATTGCTTTAGACAAAGTCAGATTGTTTACTCGTAAGAGGCCTTCTCGTACTTTGTCATCTCGGAGCCCAAGGACCAAACGGTTACGTAGAATCTCACCCGGTGTGATTTCGTCATGAGCACAGTTCTTGGAAATAACACGCAACTCGGTCACGTAAGCACTTATAATTTCGCCTGCCTCTTGTTTGCGATGATTGAAACGATAGCGTTCGTAATTTACCTGAGTGCGAGGTTCGCAATATTCAGCAAATTTGGTTAACACATCCTTAATACAGTCTTCTTCTGACCTTCTCTCCAAACAAACGTATCAAACGCTTTGACAGCATCTTCTCCGATGACCGATAGCAATGCTGACACTCGAACAAGAAGGTTTTGCTAAAAGCAGGCCCGCGGCCCAGCGTTCCGCGGCCCACGGCCCACAGCCTTCTGCCCGCGGTCCGCGACGGCCCAGCGGCTTGCCAGCCCGAAGGCCCAGCGGCCCGCAACGGCCTGCGACCCGGAGGCCCAGTTCTGATCCACAGTCTTTTTTCGTCCAGCGGTAAATCCACGCACATGCACAGATCTGCATCGGATTTGGGCGTACAAAATGGACGTCAGTGAGTTTGAATTCTTTGATCATTTAATCATTTGAATCCTTGTTTCTGTTTGTTGCATGTTGTTTAGATAAAACGTTTTGATTCACTGTTCATTAGTCTCTTTAAAGAAACCGATAGCACAATAGAGGACTTTCATTATCGAACGATGTAAGTTATTTTTAAACCACACTTTGAAAGTGAAAATATCATAACAACCGTAAAGGAAAAGAAAATATGAACCAAGGGTAAAATTGAAGCACAACACAAACAACAAATTTGAATTTCTTGATGGCGGGGTTTGATTTTTTCATTTTTCGCCATGATCGAAAAGTACTCCTTTTTTTACATCCGAAATATTGTACCGTATTTCTTCGCCCAACCTCGAATAAGGAGCTGCCTCCTCGATGTCCGACGGCGTAACGTCGGCAAATCGATCGGTCGCCCGACTGAGAAGGAGACTTCGCTTGTTGACCTTAGTGACAATGAGATTGTAATCGAGTAAGTACCACTAAGAGACTTACCCGAACACAGAGTTTCCTTAATTTACAAAAACCTTCAATGAACAGTTAAAATTCTGCTACGTGCTCAAAATGGTGCAAATTTAAGAAGTGCCCAGCCTCGAAGAAGAGCCCACCGCCCAAGAGGACCAAATATTTAATAAAGGCTGATAGTTTCTAAAGAAACTGTTTGGGGCTGCGTCGGTGGGGGTAACGAAATAACTTCAATATATCAATATATATCACGTCAGCTTTTATAATCGTAACGGTGGTCAATTTACCATTTCAACTTTTTTGATATATTCAAATATTTAATAAGCGCCCAGGGAGCTTACCGTATTCGAATAAATACGGTAATTACATCGCCGGAAAGCAATGTTTGAGAACACGCTTTCCTTTTAGGGTGGAGTTCCTGTGAATAGATCGACATATCTCTGTATAGAAAAGATTCGCAGTTCACATATCGCATCACTTATAATATTTTCACTTTCAAAGTATGGTTTCAAAACAACTTTCATCGTTCGATAATGAAAGTCCTCTATTGTGCTATTGGTTTCTGTAAAGAGAATAATGAACAGAGAATCGAAACGTTTTAATCTAAACAACATGCAACAAACAGAAACAAGGATTCAAATGATTAAATGGTCAACGAATTCAAACTCACTGTTGTCCATTTTGCACGCCCAAATCCGATGCAAATCTGTGCATGCGCGTGGGTTTACTGTTGGACAAAAAAACTTCGGAAAATCAGGACTTGGCCACCGGGCCTTCGGGTCGTAGGCCGTGGCGGGCCGCTGGTCTATCGGGCTGCCAGGCTGCTGGGCCGTCGTGGGCCGTGGGCCATGGGTCACGGGCTTGCTTTTAGCAAAACCCCGAACAAGATCCTCTTGCTTATAAAACCCGCCGCAATTTCATATCGTTGCCAAACTTTCTTCTACTTTTTCCAATTACTAGCCAGATTGTTATCCCCTATCAGCGGTTTTGGCGGCGGGAAATTCGCCGGAGGCAGCATAAACGGAGTAGCAGCCGCGAGTGGCGTTTCTTCAGCTTCCGTCATCACGAAAAGACAAGATGGCGGCCACAAGAAATATATTTCACTCTTCAGTCGAGTGTTTACTCACTCCGACGAAGGGCTAACGCTCGAAACGTCAGCTTTTGTAATCATTACGGTGGCCAATTTACCATTTCAACTTTGTTGATATATCCAAATTATCTCGTTACTCCCACCGACGCAGCCCCAAACAGTTTCTTTCGAAACTATCAGCCTTTATTCATTTGAAATTTCTTTGTTCTCTTGAGTGTTCTGTTTTGCTTATTATAAGTCTCTATTTTAATGTTACCTTTTGTTATGGCCCTTTTAGTGCGATTAATGGACCTACGTACTTGTTTGTAATTACTTCCGAGCGACTCTCCACCCTTTTTCATAAATGGAGGTCCCGTCACCTTCAGAGGGGGTAGGAGACGTTAATTTCCCACGCACGATATTACTGTGTGATGGATGTCCTTCCCCGGGGTGGGATGGGTGGGTTGAGTTTCGGTGGATGAACCTGGTAAGGGGCTACGTGTCCTACTTCTGCCTTTAAAAGAAAGCACACACAACCCACAATTCCTCTATTCGCTCCGACGAAGGGCTAACGCTCGAAACGTCACCTTTTATAACCGTAACGGTGGCCAATTTATGATTTCAACTTTGTTGATATATCCAAATTATTTCGTTACCCCCACCGACGCAGCGCCAAACAGTTTCTTTAGAAACTAGCAGCCTTTATACGTGTCCTATTGTTCTTCCACCTGTACAATGTACAAATCTTTAGAAACAATCTTTAGAAACAAAGATCTTTGACAACTATGGACGGGCTAAAACCATTTATTTATTTATTTATTTATTTATTTATTTATAAGCTTCGCCAAAAACAATTTGGCAGGAGAGATCTCACAGAGCTAACGTTCCATTAATATAACGAGACAAATTACAATTACAAATTACAATCGAGTGGTAGGAATTATGTGATTAGAAATAGTTAACTAGCAACAGAGTTTGGCTAGTAATGCTGTTAGTATTTTATGCAGACACTTTTGATGGCACTGAGACTGTTTCTACAAGCATTATTAAATGCATTATTGGCCGAACGACTGAGTAATGGTTAAGTATTTCGGGAAGTAGCCGTCGTCCATAGAAATATGCATAGATACAAAAAAGAAAAGAAAAACAAAAAAGAAAAAAAAAAGCAGACCAGAATTGACGAAACCGCCTCTTTTAATTCTAGATCCCTTAATGGGGAATGAACGAAGTCATCTGCAATTTCGGACTTTCCCTCCCCTTGAATCTAAGAGTTCTGCTCGGACATTTAAGTGTTACTTTACTAGCGGTAGGATTCCGTCAATTCCGCACAGTTCCAGGCGCGTAGCGTGGTCATTTTTTCAAGTACGCACAAGTACATATGATCTAGAAACCGAAGTAAACTTAGCGAAAGATACTGCGTTCTTTATTTCTTGTTCGAAATAGTTCTGTGAATACGAGGAAAGAACAAAACGTCTTGCCCTTATTTTGAGCAAACTTGGCGCAAACACAACATTGTTTTCAAATTTTTCTGGTCACTACAAGTACGCACATGCGTATATGCGTATAGGACGCCTGAGTTCCGTCTGATTCCCAAGGTTCTTCCTAGTTTCGGATGATTCTGTTCAATTTTCAGCCGGTTTTTCAATCATGGACCACTCCGACTGTTTTGGGCGATTCTCTCCTTCGGAGGATTCTGTTTTATTTTGGACGATTTCGGCTTATCGCTGAGGATACCATTTTAGAGTCCCGAAGGATCCTGTCCTATTTTGGACGGTATCGTACGATTTCGGACGTTTCCCGCAGCCAACACTGATTTCGAACATTTTACCCATAACACCCTGCTACCTGCTAGGTTCTTGTTCTCTGTCCAACGGTAAACACACGGTCAAAATGGCGGGAGGAAATGAGATGCAAAATCATTCAGAAAGGCCAAGACAACCTGCATGCTCAAACCAATTACCTACAACGTATACACAGTGGGAAAGAATTGCTATGGAACAAGTGCTTTAGTAATTTATTTCATCACCAAGAACCCTACAAAAAAATACTAATTCTGAATGCGCTAAATGTCGGGAACATTACATATCTGACAATTTTGACGAAATTTTTTAACAGATATTTGCTATGTTAGGGTTTCACATAGAGCGGAGCTGTTAGTTTTGACAGCCATCTAAGAGAAAGGAAAATCGTCTCCGCGTAAAATTCGCAACAATGAAGCACAGACCTCGTTTTAATTTTTGGAAATGTTTGTTTTTGTTCGCCGCTTTCCTTCCTTGGAGCGAAGGAAACACTGCGAAGTTCTTCGGCGTTGGTGCAATGTTATCCTCTCCAGACCATGAGAAAATCTTCGAGGAAGCCGTTGGGAAAATAAACGACAATTCAAGTGGTTTACTAAGGGCAGTAAAATTAAATGGAAGCTCTTACGTTTTGAGTTCAAATCCCATTCGCTCGGCTCTTGATGCCTGCGAGAATTTGGTAGCCAAAGGAGTAGTTACTATCATAGTCAGCCACCCAAAAGATGACTTTTCGCCACCAATTTCAGTCTCGTATGCCTGCAGTTTCTACCAAATTCCGGTTATAGGAATTTCAGCGCGACAAACTATCTTCTCGGACAAGGTAAGATGAGAATTTTAATTATATTAGATAAATTACATTTTGAAGTACAGTACATATTATATTTTCTACAGTAACCATTTTCCTCAAACTGAAAGTTACCTGAGTAACATTTTCAACTCAAATTAACAAATATGTTGTGTTCCGCTTGCCTCGTTATTTCCAAAGGAAAAACATCGAAGTGGCTCAAAATCTGTTTTATCAATTTGCGAAATGACACTGCAGCTGACGCGACCATTTCTGATACTCTTAAAACTCAACAAGTGAGGTTAACGAATTTCTGTGATGATGACTTAGTGGAGTATTCAGTGGTGTCGAAGACGTGGTCAAGTAACTTTTGAATTTATATGAAAATATAAATGTACATGAATATTATGTGGTTAAAATGTTCCCTTGGTGTAGAATTTTTGAATCAGGTTAATTTGCTTGAATCCACTGTCTCGTATTGCAGTAAAGAGTCACGAAATCGGGAATTTTTTTTGCCGATGTGACAATTATAAACCAAGGAAAAGTTTGTACAGTATCTTATAATTTGCAGAACACTCATGGAAAAAGGGTAATTAATTTTAGATGACATGGTTATGGTTAAGATGTTTTGTTATATTGGAAAGGAATTTTCCAGCATACTGCAACCTGAGGGATCCGAACATGGTAACACTCGAGAAAGTTTTAAAAGCTATATGAAATAAATCTAGCTCTTAGAAATTCACTAAGTGCTTTAAGTAAGGTCAAGTGAGATATAGAAGAAGATAAGCCTCTTTATTGCATTTTATTGCAAAATGATTGTATTATAAATTCATAACCGAGGGATGTCAAGCTTTAGGCAGTCATTGATTAGGAAGTACAAATTATACATTTTTTTTGGCAGCATCAAGATCATTATGATGATAAAGCTGAATAAGGTAGTAATGCTAAGTTTGAATTCACAAAAATATCTTTCATTTTGCATAAAATCTGTGGGAGTAAACAGTGGTACAAACATCATCACCTAAAGCTGTGCATATACTTATATTGAGTTCCTTTTGATATCTCATCATTTTTTTTTTAAGATTTAAAAGAACTTAGCTCCACAATAGTTTTTTTTCCTTCAGATGTTTGTTGAGTACTCCAAGTTCAGGAGCAACTTGTAATATTTTTTTGTGACATAATCTTTGAAATCCCTGAATTCTTCATAAATTATTAAACTCCCACTTCCCTTTAAAATAATATGTAAATATGTTAGTGTCTGTCTTTTGAAAATTGTACCTTGTAACACATTGGATTTTTTAATTTGCACCAACTTAAATCAAGTACAAACCAATACATGTATAGTATATACATCATAATGTACAAACCAAATGTATAGGCTATATTATACAGATTAAAGTAATGCTTGCAGCTAAACCAAACCTTCTAGTAAGTTACCCCATTACTTAAAAAACGGTTTGTTTTTAACACTGTAATATGCCAAAAAACAGTCATGCAATCACCTCCTGATCTGACCTTATTATGGGTTATTTAAGACATCTTACTGGCCTGAAATAGCAGTATTTAT